ACTAAGGTTTTTTTTATGCAACTTAGAATAGCAAACAAGCTGACGGTCCACCTGATGTAAAGTGGTAACCGTCGCCTATAGACATGAGCAGAACCACGGACATAACAGAGTATACTAACTAAGAGTAACAGAGTTTGAAGGGTGGGATATGGCGTGAATTTACAGGGTACAGAGGAATAACACCTGAGTCCTCAGGAATAGCAACGCATGGGGAGTACCATGGGCAAAATAGAATACTCTGTTACGTCTATGGTACTGCTCATGTCTATAGGCGACGGTTACCACTTTCCATCAGGTGGGCCGTCAGCTTGTTTGCCATAATAAGTTGTATAAAAAAAAATCTGTGATAATTGATTATTATTTAGTAAATTGTTAAAAAGAATATAAAAGATAACGTATGGATTTAGTAGACATTGTGTACTCGTGTTATGTAAGTAAGGAAAGCGTCAGACCAGTTCTGTAGGTACCGACTGTGGAGCGGTTGTTAAATATTTGTCCAGGACAACTAAACAGGGCTGCTGCGGGCGTCGCCGCCCCCGCCCGGCCCGACGAGGTGACCACGCGTCAAGGGAAACACGCACGTACAGTCGTGAAGGGGTTAAAAATTATTTGATAGACAAATTTCGTTATTATCGAATACGATAAAACAGATATTTGCATTCTCTTTTTTATAATTAAGTATTTGTATTGTAAAATCTTTATTATAGATACATACATACATTGGACACATTACAATATTTAATATACAATGGCGGACTTATCCCGTAGAGGGATCTCGTAAAAACTTTGAGAAGCTAAATGAAAACTATAGAATGTTTTTACCAGAGGGAGACTTTGTACAGAAGATTGCTTGGATACCTCTGTCCCATTCGTGTTTCTACCGTGAAGCAGTTGTGTTTGCATGGCTGTGTTTCGGTTTGAAGGGTGGGATATGGCGTGAATTTACTGGGTACGAGGGAATAACACCGGAGTCCTCAGGAATGGCAACGCATGGGATGGTATCATGGGCGAAACAGTATACTCTGTTATGTGCATGGTACTGCTTATGTCTATAGGCGACGGTTACCACTTTACATCAGGTGGGTCGTTAGCTTGTTTGCCATTCTAAGTTGTATAAAAAAAAAAAAAAAAAAACTATAAAACTATTTATTTGCTTTACATTTTATTTTATCAGAGACGACAATAATTTCTGTTGATATTTTTTTATCTCTTTTGATATCGTGATACAAATAAGACTGAAACTATTTCAAATTTCGCAAAAAAAAGATTTTTTCCACGTTACTGTCATCTGGACCACGAGGAACACATGCCTACAAACGTTTAGATACATCTGTACCTTATTGTGTTTTTTTTTAATATTTTTTAATTTTCTCTTTGTCCTATAGAAGATATAAAACATGGCCACCATAGCGTAGAAGCCATCAATTGGCTCAATCGTGCGGTAAACACGCGCCGCGGTCACCGTCGTTGCGCGACGTCGTGCTGATATTACAGTCGAGCTATATGTGCATTCTCAAATACAGAACTGCTATGTACTGCGAGGAATGTATCCAGCGAAAAATATAACAGTGTTTATTATTGTAGAAGGGAAAGTAAATCGTAAGAAATATCACTTTATATAATACATGCTGTGTCCCGTGGCGTTGCTCGCGTGAGTAATTATATAAAGAATACAATGTTTCAAGATTTTTTTTCAATGGATGATAATGAAATGGTAACCTCGCCTGCGCTATTGGTGTACGCTGGCGGGGCACCAGTGAGGGGTGATAGGTGGGGATGAAAGGGTAGGTCAGTTAGCCCACCGTGATGAATACACCTAGAATTCAGCACGATGGTTTCCGGGGGAACTACGCCCACTAATGTTATTAATATACTAGCTGACTCGGCAAACGTTGTTTTACCATATACATTATTGCTAGAACTATACATGAAAATATATCGTACTACAATTATTATATTCGATTGTCGTCTTGCAACCCTATTGCGGCATATAAAAATTGCGATTAAAAAACAGGGGTTGATCGTAGAAGCGTGAAAATTTGAATTTGTATGTTCTTTTTAATGCTAAATCATAATAAAATAAAAATAAAAGAATTATCAGAAAAAAAAATTTTGGGTTGGGTCACCCTTATCATTGAGGGGTATGAAAAATAGATGTTGGCCGATTCTCAGACCTATCCGATATGCACATAAAATTTCATAAAAATCGATAAAGCCGTTTCGGAGGAGTTTGGTAACAAACGTCGCGACACGAGAATTTTATACATTAGATATGTCTTAACAACACTTCTAACTTCTTAAAACATCTTTAAAAGCCTAGCTGCGGTTGCCAACCCGCCTGCCAAGCGTGGCAACTACTGGCAAAACTCCCCTTATGGGGAAGGCTTAAGTCCAGCAGTGGACAGTTAACGGCTGAAATAATAATAGTAAATGTCTTAACAAACTGACGCATCATGATTGATTCGAAACTACGAATTCTAACTATTTTACTTTATATAAAAAATAATACGACGTTAGTTTGATGCATGTTTATTACTTTTTAAGTAACAACTTTTTTTTTTAATAGACGACAAAGATATGGTAACCCCTCCTGCGCTAACGGTATACACCGGCGGGGCACCAGTGAGGGATGATAGGTGAGGATGAAAGCAGATCAGTTAGCCCACCGTGACGAATTCAACGATAAATCAGTCACGATAGTTTCCAGGGGAACCGCGTGGAGGTCGACCTGATAAGGCGTATTAGACAATTGGTCAGTTAGACCCCATTACTAACAATCCTTTTCTGCCTATCTGTTACATTACCTATCTGTCTATGGCTACGTCTAGATAGGAAACAGCATAAAACAAGTGTTCGCCGTGGCATGACGGCAGGAGTGCGGGGGCGTGGTCGCGGGGCGGAGTCTTGCTGGCAAAACATCCAGAGTCCAGATGTTCCCCTGCTCTATATAGGTAGGTAGGTAGGTACTCACCACACGTACTAAGACTGGAATATTCCTGGACCGAATTAAAAATGAACGTTAACTGGGAGTTATTTTTGGAATGACTGAAAACAGACTGGTTTATTAAAATATTAACAGAAATCTATTTTGGGAACACTGCAATCTGTAATTATAGTAGGTAGGTACTTAGTCATAGACTTTTTGGAAAATTTCTATAATAACAAAAGGATTTTTTTTTATATAGGTGATAATGAAATAGTAACCCCACCCGCGCTATCGGTATGCATCGGCGGGGCACCAGTGAAGAATGATAGACGAGGATGAAGTAGGTCAGTTAGCCCATCGTGACGAATTCAACGATAAATTAGTCACGATAATATCCAGGGGAACCGCGTGGCGGTCGACCTGATAGGGTGTATTAGACAATGGGTCAGTTTTTTTTAATGCATGATAATGGAATGGTAACCACACCCGCGCTATCGGTATACACCGGCAGGGTATCAGTAAAGAATGATAGATGAGGATGAAACAGGTCAGTTAGCCCATTGTGACGAATACAACGAGAATTGTTCACGATGGGAATTGACCTCCCCATTGCTAACAATCTCTTCTTCTCTTAGTTTTTGAATTACATATAGGAGGCCTGCATCGGACCATAGATTATTTAGTTTTTTTTTGTTTCACGACATTCCCTTCATTCATATTATTTGATTTGTTGGTGTCTTTCGATTGTTACAATATATCTAATGATGTCCTAAAATTGATTAAAGTACGATGGGACTAACGTGCCTTAAAGGACAAAAGTCCCTAAATAAATAAAGATAAAATAAAAATTACATATAGGGATATTATTTTCGTTACTTTGATCTATCAATATGTATGTCCTAAGATACTTACTTTATCTGTAGGTAGGGGGGAGGGAGGGATTGTTAGTAATGCGGACTACTGGTCCTTTTCACAATTAACCAATTTGAAGTATATTTAAGTACATAGTTACATTAGTTATATATATTCATAAAATAGAGAATAGAAGAGGCAAAATGCTAGGCCACCTTATACGACATGTTAACTTTTTAAAGAGCATAGTAGAAGGAAAAATAGAGGGCAAAAGAGGAAGGGGGAGACCGAGGGATAACCACACGGGATCGAAAGAGGAAACACTAGGCGTCATGTCGTATAGGGAGATCAAGGATACGGCCTGGGATAGAGCTGGCTGGAAGAAGATACATGAATTAGTTGCACCGACAAGATAAAACTCTTAAATGAAAAGAAGAAAATAAATGTAAGTAGATAAAATGCCTTTAATCAGTAAAACTGGTATTTATTGTTAATTATAATAGAGTACAATTTTTTTTCTAATAGGTATTAATATATCGTCATAGTCGTAAAATACTGACGGATCTGACAAAGATTACATATAAAGATCCGTCAGTATTCTACGACTATGACGAGATGTAGGTACAAAGTTTTACCAAATGCTAATAATTAAAACTATCAAAAAAATAGGAGTACGACACAATAGAATGTATTTAGAAATAGGTAGGTAGATGTATTAAAAAAAATTACACATCCATGATAAAAATAAATATCATTCCGCTAATGATCCGAGTGACGACTCGCGAACAAATTTGTCAAGACTAATGCCATCTAATTTATTGTGTCGCAGCAAACATCTGGTGCTGTTGAAATATACAATTAATAAATACGACCGACCGACCGACCGACCCACCAATACCATTCATTAAACGGCGTATCAGCCACACTAAATAACTCTTAAACAACGCGTGAAAAATTACAAAAAAAAAAATGTGTTTACAGCCCGTGACATATCGTTTTAAATTCACCTCTTTATACTAGTGCAACCCTATCTGAAGCTATGAACACATTAGTGCATAACACCACATGCAATCACACAATCATGGCCTGTAGCTGGCCAGCGGGATATAGCAGTTATGTTTATAGCCAGTAAATCGAACATAACGGCAAACTTTAGTTTGTTACGAGCCACGTACGAAAGGTGGGGCTCCGTGGCTGGGCGTCCCTCGTAGGCGGGGCTCCGGACGACTCTCTCAACCGGCTGTTTAGTTGTGAGCGGGCGGCTCGCGATGTCGCACCACTATGACACCACCGCACAGTTTTGCGATACGAGATTTGTTACCAGAAGCGTCGTCCAGATCCCCGTCCCCTTCCGACACAGAGCTCGACGTCACCGGCACGGAGACGCCGCCGCCCGGCTCCTCGAAGGAAACGAACGACGAGAAAAAGAAGAACGAGAAGCCAGCGTACAGCTACAACGCCCTCATCATGATGGCGATACGAAGCAGCCCCGAGAAGAGGCTCACACTGAACGGCATTTATGAATACATAATGAAGAATTTCCCGTACTACAAGGAGAACAAGCAAGGTTGGCAGAACTCGATTCGGCACAACTTGAGTCTGAATAAGTGTTTCGTGAAAGTGCCCCGGCACTACGACGACCCGGGGAAGGGGAATTACTGGATGTTGGATCCGTCGTCGGACGACGTGTTCATAGGAGGTACGACGGGCAAGCTGAGGCGGCGGTCGACGGCCGCGTCGAGGTCCAGGCTGGCGGCGTTCAAAAGAGGCGCGATCCTGCATCCGATGTTCGGGAACCCTTACGCGTCTCTAGTGGGTCTGTACCCGCCTCTGCTGTCGGTGTACGGGCGGTACGCGTTGCCTAGTCCCCTGCTGCGGCTGCCTCCGCCGCCGCCGAGTCCCTACCACCAGTTGTACCGGAGGATACATGGTCTCGCGCCGTCGGTGAGCCCGCCCGCGCCCGAGCCGGACTCTCGCCTGGTGAAACACAGTTGATAGAAGAGTGTTAGTAGCGTGGAGCCTCTAGAGGGATATCCGGTGCTATCCCCGTGACGGCACGGTCCGAAGACTGTCGTGCAGTGATGGAGTCGTGACAAACTGTGATAGGTACGTGGTCGTCGTGTATTATATACGAAATAGTATTTGTAAATAGTGGTCGTACTATTTATTATTGTCGTAAGATATTTAATGATTAATAAATAAGATTTAATATAAGTATATTGGATGAAATAAACAAATTTACAAGCGAATATCGCTTGAAAAATATCATATGATTTTCATTGTTACTCCAGTAAAGTTTATTAAATTATTAGGCCCATTTTTTAGAAAAATGGCAACCAGTAATTTGTTTTATACTTTACAATATATTACACGGCTGTTTACGGTAGCTACAGTAGGTGGTAATGGTACTTGGATACCGCCAGATACGGCCGGAATGGCCCCCAATCGACCATATATAATATTATTCTATTAAAACAGGTAGACGTTAATAACTGGAATAAATAACAGAATTTATATAATTATGTAGCCGCTTCATTAGTTGTTATTGAATATTTTATTGGTTTGTTACAATTAAAACATTTTAGATTAAGCCATAAATAATACGATTGAAACGATTATGTCTATAAACAGTTGAAGTGAGCCGAACTTTTCTAAATTCTTATATTTATAGTGGCATGTTTGACTCGACGTATAAATATATAATTTTATTGAGAATGTATAAATTAAAAAAATCGTGACTAATATGATTAGGTGGATAGGATGGTAAGTATTAGCTTTTTGAGAGTTTTTTTTTAATGGATGATAATGGAATGGTAACCCCGCCTGCGTTAACGGTATACGCTGCCGGAGCACCAGTGAGGAATGATCGGTGAAGATGATAAAATAAATCAATTAGCTCTTGATGAATACACCTGGAATTCAGCACGATGGTTTCCAGGAGGGACCACGTGGAGGTCGACCTGATATATAATGCCTATATTGCTAGCAATGCGACTGATAGTCCGCATTAACAATCCCCTTTCCCCCCACCCTTTTGAGAGTTTTGCAGCGTTATTTCATTACCTGCTTCTGTTGTAAGATTGTATATTATGGTCTAAATTGGTGTAAGCGAAATATTAATTCGTTTGAGATATACTTTCTTATTTATAAAAATGTAAAAATACGCGTTTTCTCTCTATCTTTTGTAAATATTAATTCGTTTGAGATATACTTTCTTATTTATAAAAATGTAAAAATACTCATAAACTGTTTTTTCTCTCTCTCTTTTGTATTAAATTCCCTATTTGAAAGAAAGGGGTAAAATAGTGTAATAGTTCAAATAAGTTAGCAGAAGGTCTTAGTTTACAACCGACCGTTTTTTTCTTCTTTTGTTTGTTACCTCACAACTCCGTCAGTTCTAAAGCGATTTAGAGAATACTTTTTTTTTAACTAAAATGATATACTCACTGATTGGTCCTATAGAATATTATCGAAATCGGTTTAGTAAGTTAGCTTTTTATACTATATAACTAGTTTTGTCACATTTGAAGTAGGCTTTTTTTAGTAGAAAAATATCTTTATTATTATTATTTAACTCTTTATTGCACCATAAATAAAAATATACAATGACAAGTGAATAATTCAAGTGAAATACATTAACATAAATACAGATTGAAATATACACATAGAAGTACAAAAGGCGGTACTATTTTTAAAGGAGAGCGTTTTGGTTAAAGGAGAACAGATAGAAAAGAGCAGGTGGCGCAAGAGTGAATTAATAATTTTTCGTGCATAAAATACAAAAACCTGTAATGCACAAAAATATCAAATACATATAATTTATTAAAGTACTTACTACTTATATATATATATATATATATATATATATATATATATATATATATATATATATATATATATATATATATATATATATATATATATATATATATATATATATATATATATATATATATATATATATATATATATATATGAATAAGTGTGTTAATGATTAATACATTAAATTCAATATAATAATAGTTAAATGATAATAATAAAAATAAACATTTATTGCACATAAAAATATAGAGTCATGGGCTTTTAAAGTGAAATATCTATACTTATAATAAATCTGTAGAGAGGTCAATTCTGTACATGAAATATATTTCCAAAATAACTATCAGGCGGTGATTAGTGATCGATACTGGTGCCAAAAATGCAATCAGTAAAATTTTGTCTGTCTGTCTGTATGTTCGTTATAGAAACAAAAACTACTCGACGGATTTTAACGAAACTTGTTACAATTATTCTTCATACTCCTGGGCAGGTTATAGTATACTTTTCATCACGCTGCGATCAATAGGAGCAGAGCAGTGAAGGGAAATGTTGGGAAAACGGGAGAAGTTACTCCATTTTTAAGCTTCCGTCGCGTGTGCAGCCTTAATGGACACTTTTTAAAATGTAAAAATGTCCACCCGTGCGACGCCGGGACGGGCGGGTATAATGTTACATTTTATAGTAGATATATCGTCATAGTCGTAGAATACTGACGGATCTTTATACGTAATCTTTGTCAGATCCGTCAGTATTCTACGACTATGACGATATGTATGAAATGTAACATTACATCTTTGTCGATATTGAGTATAACTATATTTGGATTGCAAACTTATAATGCTATTGTTGTGTTCGTATTGTTAAAAGCTTTGTTTATAATCTGTTGATGTACCACAGAAATAAATAAATAAATAAACATTTGTACCTTCTTCTCCAGTAAAAGGAATCTATAGCTGCTTGTTTTCCACTGTTTTTTTTACTGGATACTGCACGCGTCTGTAACCACAACATAAGCAAAAACAACACTATTATCTGGGGATATTTGGCCCAAATGCAACGGCCAGGAAAACGGCATAATTACACTTAATCGATCTACGGAAAATATCATGTTTCCGTACAATTGTGTTGGGAGCAAAATATTTTAAAACACACGTAACTCGATGCCCGGCTGTCGAAAGATACGATAATTACAGCAAACAATGATATTTTATCAGATTTAGGTGCGTTTGTTCGTGCGTGCAACGTTTGTTGTCCTTGGAGTTTGTGCGAAAAATGATCTGGGATAATCATGTTGGCGATGCCGTAACTACGTACTGTGAAATAAAGCTGGCTGACTTAAATAGAACATTAGCTTCAAGTGAAGTTATTAAAGATCGTGTTTCACAAATAAAAATACAGACTTCAGTTGTGATAAAACCGGTTATTTCGATTTTATTTATTTATTTATTCATTAGTACATATATGTGTACATGGCGAACATAATGCTAAAAGCATTCTCTCCCAGTCAACCATAGTGAAGTGTCAGAATACTCGAATGCGGCACTAGTAATTATTGATATACATACATACTAAAATTACATATATAAACGAATAAATATATATAAATAACAAATATACTTACACATATATAAAATATACTATATTATACACGAAATTGTGAATAATATAAATCACTTATACTATGATTTCAATGCTAAATTACTGAATTGATTTTCATAAAGTTCCTATGGGACCAACCTATAAGTACTTCGATACCTTTTCAGGACAATTTTCCAAATCGCTGTACAAATAATAGAGTTACAAATAACAAATATAAAAAAAAGACAGAATTGGTAACCATCTTCTTTTTGAAGTTGGTAAAAAAAAATACAATTATATTCTAAAAAAAAAAACAAAAATTATTGATACTCACAATTAATTCCAAATTCTCATAATTAGTACAAATGTATAAGTGATTTTTAATGGTTGAAAATGGAATGATAATCTCTCCTGCGTTACTCGATATACGCTGCCAGGGCACCAGTGAGCGGTGATAAAGTAGAGGAGGACTTTACCAGAGGGAGACTTTGTACAAAAGTCGATTGCTTGGGTACCTCTGTTCCATTCGTGTTTCAACCATGAAGCAGTTGTGTTTGCATGGCTGTTTCGGTTTAAAGGGTGGGATATGGCGTGAATTTACAGGGTACAGAGGAATAACACCTGAGTCCTCAGAAATAGCAACGCATGGGGGGTATTATGGGCGAAACAGTATACTCTGTTATGTCCATGGTACTGCTCATGTCTATAGGCGACGGTTACCACTTTTCATCAGGTGGGCTGTCAGCTTGTTTGCCATTCTAAGTTGTATAAAAAAAAGAGGAGAGGATAAAGAGAGATCAGTTGGCATTTCGTGAGGAGTTTAACAAGAATTAACCATGATGGGAGTTATCATCGTAATTATAAGCAGGTAAGCATTGTTCAGTGAAGTGTTTCGGTTTGAAGGTTGGATATGGCAACTGAACCTACAGGGTAGATAGATTGATAGATAGATAATTTATTTGCATTACTTACTTACAGCACACAAATTATAACATACATATACAAAAAAAAAGCGAGATAACATAAATGATAAAAAAAATAGATACATAAAGCTAAATACAATTTTCGTTTGTGTACGGAGGTATCATGGGCGAAACAGTATACTCTGTTATGTCCACGGTACTGCTCATGTCTACAGGCGACGGTTACCACTTTCCATCAGGTGAGCCGCTTGTTTGTCGTGCCATATAAAAAAAAAGGTGTGCATATATGTAAAGCAACAGCTAAGGAGGGTCCTATTACTGGTAAAATGAATTGATTTTGTTCTCTCTTTTTACTGTTGTTTATTTTTACCTGTAATTATTGTTGTTATTGTTGGTAAAAAAGAACCTATCTATCTATCTATAATTTTATATAAACTTATAAACGCTAGTGTTGGACAGAACATTCACGTCTGGCTGAATCTTATGTTGAAGTTTTAATACTGGCTGTTGGGGGGGAAAGGGATTGTTAGTAATGGGATCTAATGAACCTATTGCTAGCAATACACTCTATCAGGTCGACCTCCACGTGGTTCCCCCTGGAAACCATCGTGAACAATTCCTGTTAAATTCGTCACGATGGGCTAACTGACCTGCTTCATTCTCATCTATCATCCTTCACTAGTGCCCCGCCGGTGTATACCGATAGCGCGGACGGGGCTACCATTCCATTATCACCCATTGAAAAAAATACTGGCTGTTGACACTGAGGTTTTTTAGAACAATGTATTATTTTTAAATTCGTTCTATGTCAGATTTTTATAAGACATGTCTCGTATTTTTTTCACCAAACTTATTATTTTATATCACAAATACATATATGTTTTACTACTGCATCCAGCTATTTACAACATGTTAGCCGCACAACGGCCGGACTAATTTACGATAT